GACCTGAGTTCAAATCCAGTCTCAGATGCTTACTAGCTGTGTGACCCTGGGCAAGTCACTTAACCCTGTTTGCCTCAGTTTTCTTATCTATAAGATGAGCTGGAGAAGGAAATGGTAAACCACTCCAGGATCTCTACCAAGAAAAGACCTGACGGGGTCACAAAGAGTCAGACATGAATAAACAATTCATTTTACAGATGAAGAAAATGACGTTCATTGAGGTTAAGTAAACCTTCCCGAGGTCACACTGATAGTAAATTGCAGGGGTAAGATGGAAACCAAGGTCATCTAACTCCAAATCCAGGACTTTTTCTACTGTACCCACACAACCAGAAGAAATAAGGAAGTTGAAGCTATCTGGAAGGATGACACACAGCTGCTCCCTTGGAGAAGCAAAGAAAGCAGTTGGCAGAGTTGGCTTTACCATCTGTCCAAAGGCAACAAGAAACGTTATATCACTGGATATCTAGTCATCTTGTGCTGCAGAATGACTATAAGTACTTACCATATAAACACTCTATAAGACTGTAAGTACAAAAAGACCACCATGAAAATAATTGCAGCTTATGCATCAATGTTGGTTACTAAGGATAAAGAAACAGATAAATTTGATGCAAAAGAATGTTTACATCAAATCAACATATACTTGATACTCAGTATGTTTGGCGCAAAATCGGGAAAATGAAGATGACAAGAAATCTTTATGTGAGCCGTTTATACACAAATCAAGAGAATCCTCAGTGAAGATATTCATAGAGAACAAGTAGGCTTTTACAAATGATATTCAAGAATGGATCATGTTACCATTATTTGCAATTGGCCAAAAGATGTAGGGAATATAAAACCCAATGTATTTACTGTTTGTTGATTATGAGGAAAACATTTGATTCAGTGTAGCAAAATTCTGTCTTTAAGCTATTTTCCAATAAATTAAAATCATTCAAGATTCCTTGAAAGGTATAACAACAGAAATAACCCTATTTCTAACCCTCTGATTATAAACACCGAGCAAAATATAAAATAGGCAAATATACACAGAAGATGCCAAGGGTGTTCATCATTGTGATGGAGATTATCCAGCAGAGAGCCCAAATTAGATACAAACACTCTAAGGATGGTGATGTCCTCCCAAAGGTCCTATTTGCTAGTTGCATCCAGCCCAGAATATTGTAGCCTCCTGGAAGATACCTATAACCACTCACAAGAGCTTGTCATGACCACCCACAAAGAAAAGACTAAATGAATGAACAATATCTGTTGCTTTATAACTTGCGTTTAGATGGATGACCTATAGAGCTTGTCCACATAAGATAGACAGTGCAGAAGAGTAATGAGTTTGCCCCAGAATTAAACCAGAAGAACACAGTGAACTGGATGCCATCAGGAAATAGCAAAGCTCCTTTAATTACTTCAAACTTGCCATGGAAACAAAGATCCATTTTTTTAATGTCAACATTCTACTGGTATTCCTATGTGACAGTGAGATATGGAATACAACAATTTCTGAAGAATTAAAAATGAAGATCACACAGAAGACAACAGAGAAATATGTAGTAGCTGTGAGCAGGGTGAAATATATAACCAATAAGGAACTTCAAAGAATAGGAGTAAAAGAAGTCATCCAGATGATGTATGATAGGAAGAAGACAAGATGAGCTGGTCACGTGACAGGGGGAAAAGATTAACAGGTGGACAGATAGAGTCTTGGTATCGGCAACACAAGGAAAAAATGAGGAAGGTCTCTACCACTTTTAATAAATCCTTTTGTGAATGTATGGTAGGACATGGACAAGAGTTGTATAAGCGTGTATAGGTTATGCTTTGCATAATTGATCAGAATTCCTAAATCTATGAGGTCACTGGTCTATTTGATTAATCTTATTTACCTTAAAATTCCAAAAGAAGGCAATTCCATAACTGCCTTCAGTGAGAATTTAAGTGTTTCCATTTGATTTATTGATGTATTGATTGGTTTGCTGAACTGCTTTTTCCCTTTATTAATTTTTTTAAAAAACCTTTATTACAAAGGAGAGGGAAGGGATATATTCAGAAATGAGGGTGATGTAAAAGCAAATGATGGCAATAAAAATGAGATTTAAAAAAAACTCCAATGTCTTTCCCTCATTACAAGAAACTATGCTAATCCACCAAACCAACATGCATGTCACATGATAATGCTGAAACGACAGAGGTCTGACCACTGACTCTCTGCTGTGCCCAAGCTGGAGGTGTAAGTGAGAACTAACAGACTTGAAACTCAGTGTAAGCACTAGAAATCCCTCCTCACTGCCATTCCTGGTAGATGATAAGTTCCTTGATAGAAGGGACTCTTACCTTTCTCTCTTGTATCCTCAGAGCCTAGCACAACACCTTGCACGTAGTGGGCACTTAATCAAATATTTGTGGGATTGAATAAAAAACATTCTTAAATAGTGCTTTAAGTTTCAATGTAGTAGAAGACTACTAGTCAGAAATCTTCTCCCAATCCCTCAGTAGCTGTGTGAAATCATTTCACCTCTCTGAGCCTTGATTTACTGATCTGCAGAAATGAGTGGGTTGGACCAAAAGGTCTAAGGTCTCTTCCAGCTCTGACAGGCTTGATTTTTTTTTCAGGCTTTGATTTTTCTGTACAATGCTTAGCAACTGGAAGTTCTTGGTAGGGCAGATAACAGGACACAGGCTCTGTGTGAAGATTATACCCTTTGGTGACTTTTGAACTGGAACAAGAATTGAAGTATTTTGAAACATTTGACTTTGATGCAATAGACTCTTTTCAACACATATTCAAACAAATCCCCTTATAAAAGACTTTCCCTGATCAAGAGTTAGCTTATCAATGAACAGAAAGGAAAGGTGAGTTTTTGTAATCATAAACACTCAGAGACCTTTTTCAGTCTATCCAACTTTTATGCAGGCTCCATATACCTTTCTCACACAGCCCACAAAGGATACTCTCCCATAATATACAAACCTACTATCCTCTGTCACCTACAAGTGGGAGATACATACATTAATAAACAGACCATCTGTGTGGTAAGACAATAAGATAGTAAAAATTCCCTCCTCAAGGGTTTTATCTTACAAGATGCAAATAAATTTAGTCTAGTTCAATTCAGAAAGCATGCATTAAGTACCTACTCTGTGTGAGGTAGATGCTAGGTGGGTTAACTTCATGAAATCAGCATCCTATTCTTCTGACTCAAATTTTTATTCTCTTTGTGTATATAGGTATTTGCAAGACTTTTTTGACATTCCATTTGGTGACAGTTGTGTTTGTAGGTTCTTCTATTTGGTAAGGAAAAGTAGTATCCTTCACTTTTTACATGTTGATTTTTAAGTTTAAACGGTTTATTTATTATGGTATATAAGTGCAGCTAGTTGTACAGTGGATAGAACACTGGGCCTGGAATCTGAAAGACCTGGGTTCAAATGTAGTCTCAGACATTTACTTGTTATGTGACCCTGGGCTAGTCAATTAATGCCTATTTCCTAAACTGTAAAACAGATATAAGGATAGCACCTACCTCCCAGGGTTCTTGTGAGGAGCAAATGAAGGAATATTTGTAAAGCACTTAGCACAGTATCTGTCACTGTATAAATGTGAGTTGGTAGTAGTAGTAGTAGTAGTAGTAGTAGTAGTAACACAAATGTCTGACTAGAGTTCATTTGGTGCTATATGAATATGGGATCCTTTCTACTATGTTTACTCACACAATCTACCACCATTTCCCTAATATTTTCATTATAAAACAGGGATGCAAAAAAATTATATGATCATATGAAGCCTTCAGTGAACCCTAGACCAACATTAAATTTGTTATGTGAGCAACCACAAATCCACAGAATTTCAGAATTGAGAGGGATCCTGCAGTCCATGTGGTCCAACACCCTGGGTCACAGGTAGGAAAGCATGAGATTCAGAACAATACAGCAAGCTGTCCAAGATCACAGATCTTGCTTAAGTTGCTTACGTGAGACCAGAGTGAAGTTTCCTGACTTTCAAATCCTGTGTGCTCCTGTCACTCTGAGCCTTGAGCCCATTTGCCAAGGAACAGAGTTACACAGTAATCAGATAAAGGAAATCGAGGTTGTCCAACTTTTCTTACTTCCTTACAAAACACACATACATATACAACTACAAAAATACAGGAATATCTACTCCTTTATATTGTATTTATTTGTTTTTGTCTAAAGAGAGATCCACTTTTTCTTGACATCTCCCAACCTCATGGATAGACAGTAAGGTACAGAGGAAGAAGCACTGAATTTGCAATCAGTGGAACCATGTCACCTACATTACCATGGGAAAGTCATTTTAAATTCTGAGCCTCAACTTCTTCATCTGTAAAATAAAATGTAATGACCCCTAAGGTCCCCTCCACTTCTAAATCTATGATCCTGGGAACACCAGATGGTAGATTTAAGCTCCTGCTGAGTTAGAATACAGGGAATGCAAGGAGTTTCTATCCAGTGAATTCTGAGGCCGTTTACTGGATTCCCTGCTTCTTATCCTTAATTCAGTTGGAAGAGAACGTTAGTGGAAGCTTCATTGCAAGCCCCTGAAAATGTGGCAATGCTAATTCTCCTTGAAGTGGTCGCTAGTTCTGAGCTGGGGACTAGCTGCTTATTCTGAAGTCAGGCTCTATAACCCAGCTCACGTTTCCGTTGTTAGGGATCTGGGGTGGTGTGGGGAGTGTTTCAAAGTGGCTGCCTAGGACCACCTTTATCCAAGGAGTCTCTGTAACTCTTATGGGGAAGGAGAAAGGAAGAAAGGAATGGTCAGATAAAGAGAAAAAAACGAATGTCTTGGCGGGGAAGCTCCTGTCACAACTTCACCCGGGTCCCTAACCCCAGAGGGCTGACTGAGTGTTCGTCTCAGCAATGGCAAGAGGTCAAAGCCCCTACCCCAGGGAATGTGTGGGAGACCCCATACTGAAGCCTCCTACACCCAGCGACCCCAATCCACAGACCCCCTCTACAACCCGGCCCTTCTTGGGTACCTGACTAAGTGGCTGCAGACCGGTTTGCAGAGAGTCCATGGATGTTCCACGGCGCAGTAACATCGTCTTGTTCTCTCTTCTAACCCATTTGCGCCTCTTTATATAGGAGACGGCTGAAAGGGTGGGTCAATGGGACTGGGAGGGATTGAAAATAGGGCCAATGAGAAGGACAGTGGGGGAGGGGGGGCGAGGAACGGGTTTGGGGGCGGGGAGGGACGAGAGAAGGCTGGTGCTCACTGCCTCTGTAAGTGTTGCACAGATTTCCCAAATCCCCTGTAGAACTTCGAGGAGCTGTCCACGAGCTGCAAGTACTGACAGTGCCAGGGCCAGGTCTTGACAAAATCTTTCCTCCGGAAAAGCTTTTCTCTGTTTCTCCTTCACTCAGTGTCTGTCCTCCAGTTTGGTCAGAGCCATCTCAAGCCTCGCTATTTGTTTATTTCAAATTTCTCAGAGACAGCAAAATCCTTGTATTTGAAGCACACGACTTTAAAGTAGGTACCTTACTTAACTTCCCTTGAACCTCAGTTCCTCATCTATAAAATGACCTCTAAAGTCTCTTACAACTCTCAATCTATGATCTTGTGATGCTGTGACATCATTAACTTAATATTTGTTGTTCTACAGACAAGCAGGACATTTTTGGAAGTAAAGGATGGAATTACATACTTTTTAAAGGTGGGCGTGAAATGGAATCCACGGTTTCGTGTAGAATTTACCTATGTGTGTTCTGATGGGCGTATATGGAAATAACCTTTTTTGGTGTTTAAATTCAGAATAATCAATACAATTTTAATTTCTATGCCAGCCAATAAGCCTACATTACAGAGCTGCTAGGTAATAATAAGTCCAATTTACAAAGATCCTTTCTCACCACTATATTGTGAGTTAGGGGGGAAAGGGGGAGGTAAAGGGGAGAGGGAGGTGCAAATAGCATTATCCCAATTTCCAGATGAGGATTCCAAGTCAAAAGTAATCTTTTACCAGACCGTGCTGCCTATACCAGGAATGCATTCCACACAGTACATTCAACACATTTACTCTTTAATCTCGGGTAGCAGTTACTTTCTGAAAGATCAGCAACCTTTTAAAGATTCACAGCTGACCTGAAGCCATTTGTCTCTCGGAGGTTATCCTTTTTTAATGGCTATGCTCCAGATATGTCTGTCTGTCTCTGTCTGCTGCCACTGTCTGGGGGGTTTGGGCAGCAATTCAATTTACCTATTGAATTAGACGACCTTTTATTAAACACCTACAGTGTGCAACGAGCTGTAGGCTTCAAAGGAAGCAATCCCCAGCGCAAAGAGCTTGCACTCCACGGTGGAGATTAAGCCTGTCGATGGGTCCTTTCTCCTCGGCCCTTGCCCCTCCGCTTTGGGAAGAAGTGATCCGTATAGCCGTCGCTCTCCCCGTCACTCCCCAACCCCCTTGCTCTTTACCCGGTTCTTCCCACAGAGGGTGAAGAGGAAACAACCAGGAGAGGAGGAAATGCAAACACAGCGGGAAAGCCCCACATCGTGAAGGCTTTGGTTCCGTGAAGAACAAGCAAAGCCGGCGCGCGGACTAGGTCGAAGAGCAGGGGCAGGGAGCTGCTCTCCAATGCCCCCGGGCAGTGCATCCTCACGGTGCGCAGAAAACGGAATCCCGTGTGGGTTCTAAGAGGAAAGCAAGGCGCACGCATTTAACCTCTATAGAGTCTGTGCCGGGAAAAGGTAAAGAACGACTAGGGCTCCTTCACCTGCATGAGGGGAAAAAACGCTATGGCTAGACAGAGTGAAGGGAGTAGTAGTGAGGCTGAAGCAAAAAGAGGCTGAAAGAAAAGAGGGACCATAGAGCACCGGCCCTGACCTCAGGAGAACCTGAGTTCAAATACGGCCTCAGACCAAACACGTGACATTTACTAGCTGTGTGACCATGGGCAAGTCACTTAACCCCAACTGCTGAAAAGGAAAGAAAGAAAGAAAGAAAGAAAGAAAGAAAGAAAGAAAGAAAGAAAGAAAGAAAGAAAGAAAGAAAGAAAGAAAGAAAGAAAGAAAGAAAGGAAGGAAAAGAAAGAAAAGAAAAGAAAAGAAAAGAAAAGAAAAGAAAGAAAAGAAAAGAAAAGAAAAGAAAAGAAAAGAAAAGAAAAGAAAAGAAAAGAAAAGAAAAGAAAAGAAGGACCATGGAACAAAACAAGAGACAGCTGCCACTGGGCCTCACCAAAGATGGCCCTTAAAGCTAAGGCCGATGTGGCCCTTTGAGCTCAGGGCTCAGGGCTTAGTAAATAGAGTAAACCTCCTTGGAATCAAAAAGCCTTGGGTTCAAGGCCTTCCTCTGGCATGTATGCATGACTCAGAAAACCTGAATTTTGTCCCAGCTCTGCCACTAACTGTATGACCTTGGTCAACTTGCTTTTTTGTCTCTACCCTCATTTTAGCTTTCATTTTATCCTCAAAAGGACATTAGGCTGTAGGTGCTATTGTCTCCATTTTACAGATGAGAAAATTGAGGCAATCAGAGGTTCAGTTACAGCCAGAGTCAGGAAACTACTAAATATATGAGGCCAAATTTTTTGAACTTGTCACTTTCTGAATCAGCAGCCAGCACCCTATTCACCCAGAAGCCTCTCTAAGATTCTGTGTCCCGAGGGGGAAGGCAAAAGGGGAGAGTGGGAAAAAGAGAGAAAGAGAGACAGCAGAAAAAGAGAGGGGGATACACACAATGTTTGTATCCAAGCACACATAAATACCAAAATGTAAAGGGTGGGACCTAATTTCATTGCTACCCCATCACACTGGTTACCTTGAGTTTGAAGCCATTTCAAATCCACAAATGTTTGTCACATGAACATGGCTGTTCTAGCCATATCTCTCTCATACTAAACTTACAAAGTGGATTTTTTGGAAGTCAGTTGTAGAATTTTGAATTTATCTCTAATATGTTTTACCTTATCAGAATTCTAGTATATTGAGGTACTTTTGATACTGTCAGTCAACATGTTAACAATCCCTCTCAGCTTTATATCATCTAAAAAATTTGAAAAGTGTAACATTTATGGCTTTTGACAAATCATTGATTAAAAAATATTGAGCAGAATAAAGTCAAGGACAGATGCCTGTAGCAGTCTACTACAGGCCCTTTCCCAGAATGATTATGCATCTGGTCATCCAACCAGTTTCAAATCTATCAAATCATATTGTCATCTTACCTATAGCTCCCAATGTTGTCACAAAAAGCTGTGACTTTGTCAGATGTCATACAGAAATCCAGGTATACTATAATTATCTACAGTATTTGTCTATAGAAGAAAATATAAACCCCTGAACCTGTCATTTAAGACCCTCCACAATCGGGATCTGACCTACTTTTCCAGCTTTGTTTTATGCTACTGTCATTCTTACATACTATAATCTTCCCAAATCGAAGCATTATCTGCTTATCTTCTTCTACCTCTATAAATTTGCACAGACCACCCTCCATGCCAGGATCATACTCCCTCTTCATTTCTGCCTTTGAAATCTTTCTTTGCCTGAACGGACCAATCCAAGTACCATGTCTTCCAGAAAGACTTTCCTAGTGGTTCCGGCTAGGAGTGATCCCCTCCCTCCTCACATTTCTTATCGCATTTTGTCTAAATCTCTCCTTTTCATTTTATACATTCTGCTGCGAATCTCCCTTATTTGTGTGCATAGTGTTTTCCTTCTCCAATACTTCATTAGGGTAGTATCTTTCCTATGGGCGTGAACTACATTATTTTTTATCCATGGCTCCCCAGGGCCTATCACAGCACCCTGAGCAGAATAGGGACTTAAGAAATGGTTTGTTGAATTGAATTGAACTACTCCAATCTCATGGTAGTCCTTAATGGCAGTCCCTATTACAGGACAGACTTTTTTACAGCCCTATAATCTGAAGTCTAGTGACTTTGCACTAATTAGAGAGAGTGGCCATGGTTAATGATGTCTTAGGGAGGAGTTCCTGATCACTAACTGCCTGGCTCTCCTCAGATCTGCCCAAGAAGGTTTTGATAGATGGCTACAGATAAATGGAATTTTCAAATTCGCACTTTCAAAGTGTCCTGAGCCTGAGAAGTGTGAGACCTTGTTCTGGATTAAAGTCATGTTCATGATCTTAAAGAAAGAAGTCACTCAGTAAATATTTACAAAGTGCCAGTAAATATTTGCAAGTACTGTGCTAAGCTCTGCTAATGCAAAGAAGGCAAAAGACGGTCCTCAATATCAAGGTTCTCACAATATAATGGGAGAGACCAGCTGCATGAAGCTATGTACAAACAAGTCATAACAGGATAAATTTGAAATAATAAACAAAGGGAAGGCACTAGCATTCAAGGAGATTGGGAAAGACTTCCTAGAAAAGGTGGGATTTGTAGCTTGGACTTGAAGGAAATCAGGAGGTGGCGATGAGGAAAGAGAGCATTCCAGGCATGGAGGGACAGCCAGTGCAAATACCCAAGTGTGCACACATGTATATATGCCTACATACACTTGCCACACACCTTAGCTCAAGACACTGGGTGGGAGGAGTGAGGGAGGGCTCCTGCAAAGAAGAATTGAGTCACTCGCCCAAGTAGCCTCAGGCCAGTTAAGAGGCTATAACTCTGATCACACTCTCATAGGAGAGGTAAAAACTTTGAACACCCAGAGGTGCAAAAAAACAGGCTCTTTACACAAGATTTCAAAGAAATCTCTGTTATAGAATTGGACAGAGAATTCTGGACCTGAAGTCAGGAAGACCAGAGTTCAAATCCTTCCTCAGACATTTATTAGCTGTGTGACTCTGAATAAGTCATTTAATCTCTCTCAGCCTCAGTTTCTATCTACATCTATAAAAGGAGAATAACAAAATCTACCTAACAGATAACATATATACTATCTATAAATAATATATGTAATATATAATATATAAAATAACATATGTAAAGGGCTACACAGATGCAGATTATTATTATTATTGAGCATTCAGTATGAAGATTCAGCACTTAGATGAGGTGAAAGGATGGAAAGTGAATAAGTCCAGGACACGGACCTTTCCGTTCTCAATGTCCAAGTCCCATAAACCTTCCTCCACAGAGCACACTAATCTCCATGGCATGAACC